TTATATCTTTTATATCTGGTTAAGGAGGTTTAAACCAACTGCTTTGAAGCATAACAGTTCAAAACCAAAGCAAGGGTGACTGCCTACCTGGCTGGCTGGCGGACTGTCTGTCTGTCTGTGTGCCTGCCTGCCTGCCTGACAGACCGACGGACGGACTGAGTGCCTGACTGACGGACGGACTGACGGACGGACGGACTGACTGATTGAGTGATTGATTGATTGATTGATTGATTGAATTATTATTATTATTGATTGATTGATTGATTGATTGATTGGCTAATTGATTGATTGATGTTTCAGGTTATATTGTATCAACGATTGCACCAACCATTACTGCAGCCACGTCTCTTGGTCCCCCACTTATGTTACCTCTCTTGATTTTCGGAGGATTCTTTCTCAAGACCGTGTAAGTCTTTAGTAATAGAATTATTCCTCGATATACATATTTAGCAAAGATGACGCGACTTCCGACGCGGACACGAGAGCACTCAGAGTAGTCTAGACACGACTTCATTTCAACTTCCCGAGTTCCGGTGTTTTGCATGAACGAAACAATATTTTTGCTGCTACCGTTTGCGGCCTTGTTTGAACCAGTTCTGAACAGAGAAAAATGTAGTCAGAGCTTCTGAATACCAAATTCATAAGTGTTTCTACAAAACGCTGCCAGTCATCCTCTTCGCTCCTGTGAGTGGAGGATAATGCTACTCAATAACAATATCCATCCATTAAGGTCTTTTGCTTCCTGCTCTACCTCATTCCAGCTCGTCCAGCCCAGATCGTTTCGCTCAGCCTCGACCGTTCTCCTCCCTACGAAAACCAGTTATAAATTTTCTTGTTTTTTTTTTTTCTTGCAGATCTGTGCCTGTTTATTTTGTGTGGCTCAAGTATATTTCATGGTTCATGTATGGCTTTGAGGCTCTGATTATCAACCAGTGGAAAGACTACGGTCCGATATGTACGTACCACTTTTTTTCTTCCCGTAAGGATGAATGTAGTGCACGGTGTGGTTTTTATTAAGAGACTGTACTTTGCCAAATGTGCTTATACAGTCCGATTTGTCATGCGATGGACTGTGTCTGGGTTTCAGCGTCTTCTGTAGCTAGTGAGACCTCTCCGGGATTGGCACTTCCTACGTCGGTCTCCTCGGATAAAGGTCGATGGATGAGAGTCTAACACAAGCTCGTTTTGCTAACCCTGTGATGGACGTCTAACATACCATCTAGGGGAATGAAGGAGTACTCCGATAGCCCCTTGTTTTTTTATATTTTCTTTTTCCGTATAACGCCGTATTTTACATATCCAATACACTTGTCCTATTTGGTGAATTAAGTATTTTCTCATTCTATTTGTAGCATGTGGCTTGAATGCGACTACTACCCCGTTGACAGCCATGAACGGTTCCTCTGGGGGGGTGGGAGATGGAGTGCCGTGCATACCGAATGGAAATGCAGCCATCAAGTTTCTTGGCTTTGAGGAGGTAAGTGAGCATCAGATGACTGTGTTTATCATCTTTATCACATACGGGGCAAAATTACTAAATCCTGATTGGCTGAGACAGAGGGATTTTTTCTTAATCACGAGGGCACTTTTGGTAATCAA